AATGTATTATAACGTATCATTATTGTTAAAATATGTATTCCAAGATAACATACTTTTGTATTTGTTTAACTGGGAGGGAGACCTGATGACCTGAAATACAGGTTCGTCGCCTAGTTTAGGCATCAGTCTCTCACATTAATTTGTGCCTTTTTTTTGTTAAAATTCGATATTGTTAATTTAATGTGGAGAGAAAAATAAATTATTATTATTATTATTATTATTATAAAGTTTAGGTTCATTAAAAATTCTAATTTTACCGCCGAAATTTTACCGCCGAACCAAGTCGAGCAAAAAAGCAGCACGGCCGTACCATACTTTTCTCGAAGAAATTCAGGCCGTTTTCGACCACCTATTGGATTTTCAGTAACAAAGTAGACGTTGTATAAACTTGGTATATTTCAAATTTCATTCAATTTGATCCAGTAGTTTAAGAATTAAAACTAGTCAAAGTTCTTAATTTTGTCGCTCACTGACTGACCGATCATCAAAACTCTAAGGAACTTCTAGCAGACAATATAGAATCTTCAAATCTAGAAGGAAGAACTAAAACTTTTTTTAATTTCATGATAGAAAATGAATTACACGATCATTATGGAACAACAACTATCATCATGATAGAAATAAATTTTTTAGTATGTATTTTAGTAAAATAATTAACAAAATGTACCCCGTAAACCTAATACAATATTTTATTTCAAGCGGAATGAAAGAACGGTTGAAAGAATATATTTGTTTTCGAGTTCAAGCCCATGTTACGTGACTCGTACGGTTATAATGTTATAATTATGCCAGTGTCAGATAATGATTAATTATTCATTATTTATTTATTTTTTCCAAATTTTTCCTGTTATTATGTAATGTATGTTGCATACAAATAGGAAAAGAACAAGTCGTATTATCATTAACAGTGGTTACCAACTGATCGACACGTATCTTCTCCATTGGTTGTCGATTCTTCGAGCTATATTGGCGGTCCATTGCCACTTCAGATTATTAATCCGCTATGTCACTTACTTTGGTTCTATTACAAATACCCTGGTTTCTAATTTTATCATGTGGAAAATCTCTGAGCACATCTGACTCCATAGGACTCTAAGCAACCTTGAGCTTCGTTATATGTCCAGCAGCAAACCACATCTCAGATCGATATATATATATATATATATATATATATATATATATATATATATATATATATATATATATATATATATATATATATATATTATCTCGAATCTTCTGACTTAAGTAAGTAAATTATTTATTTTAGGGTGATCGTGGTGATTGCAAAACATCAGCAACATCGAAAAAAGAAAGGTGGATGTTCCGGAAAAATTCCATTAGTTGTCTCGAAAGTCACAATATGAAAAAATCTTTATATAGCCCAAATTAGTCCTACTCTCACTGCGAGTACGAGCCAACACTTAGGCCAAGGAAAATTAAACTGAAAAAATGCCTTGACATAAAAAAACTACAGCATAAACAGGGTTCACAAGTTTGCAAGAAATACTTTGCCCTAACACTTAACTACGAGTATTACTCACCAAAAGCCTATCGCTATGTACGTAAAACTTTTGAAACATGTTTTCCTGCACCACGGACATTGACTAAGTGATACACTACCATCGATCGCCGACCAGGGTTTATTCAAGAAGCGCTGAAAGCATTAAAATTGAAAGCGGAGAGTAACCCTGATAAAAAAAATTTATTGTTCATTGTTCATGGATGAAATGAAAATTAGGCAATTGACGGAATACCATGCTAGCAGCCAAAGGCATTATGTATATAACCAAAATGTCTTTTAGAACTGGCATAGTACTCCGTCAATTGTTTTATTTTCATTTCATCTATCACTAATATACAATACAATTTCTTGTCAGGGTTACTCTCTAGTCTAAGTTTTAAAACAGTTAACGCTTTTTTCATTTTTTTCATTCATTATTCAAGAACAGTGGCACGGCTTTTCCGGTAGGATCGCCGGAAAAGCCGTGCCACTGTTCTTGAATATTGCGTATACAATTTTACCCATTTTCACGCATCGGCGGGCGATTCATACAGCGTGGTGATCCAGCGAACCAAACAAATTCGTCGAGAAGAAGGAGCCGTGAAGCTGATGATGGGCATTGCGGGCTGGTGAGTACGACTCTTCACCTCCTTCATATCCCTTAGTAAACTTGGAATTAGACATTTTTCATTTTGACTATTATTTGGGTTTCAAATACAAATTTTACGTAAATTTTGTAAAGTATTAAGTGCAATAAATAACTATTACTTAAATAAAAATAAAAATAATATTAAATTAATTGTAATACGTACATAATATTAAGTCCCATATTACTCAATGAAGTTGTAGAGTAATATTATATTAAGTATTATACATTATACTAAGTTCTTATCGTGCCTACACTTGTTTGTTAATTTAAAGATTACTCGACACGTTAATATATAATAGGTTAGTACTTATACTCGAATTTTGCTTACATTTGTGGAACTAGTAGAGTTATAATAAATATTTTATTTTATTTCTTATTTTTGTGTAGAACCACTGAATAAATTATTAAAAAATACGTGTGGCACTCGGTGACTGCCGCGGTAAAGCTATTGCATAGCATTTTTTATCAACTTATGCAATTATAATTATTTATTTATTTTATTTATGCAGTTAAATCTTTGATATTAAATCAAGTTACACTTTTTGAGCGTGGTGACCGATAAGAAAACAATTTTTTTTCTCTTATTGAATAAATGAGAAGTTAATATTGTTTAAAATATTTTAATATCTTACAATACATGTAGGTTATTCAGGAATTTTTATCATTGAGTTAGCAGCTAGTGTACACGCACACAAACACCGTGCCGAAGTCTGCGAAATAAAACGACGTTAGACGATGCACGGCTTTCAACGCCACACCTCCGTGCCCGTCGGAGCGGGGAGCGTGAGGTTTTTTTTTCGTTACGGAATTTCTGGATTCTGTCCCCGCGCTCAAGGCCCGCTATGCAATAGCTTAAAATGTCGAAAATTAAACTTATCTCTAATGAATTAACTAAAATAATACCAATATTTAGTGGCGATAAACGCCATTTAAATTTATTTTTGCGTAAATGTGAATATATAATAAGTAACTTTAAATCATCCGGTGTTCAAAACGAATATATAATGCAAATCATTACTAGGCGACTTACGGGCGAGGCTGCGTCGCTTATCAGTGAACGGGAAGATACAGAGACGTGGGCCTAATTCAAGGAATTGTTTTTAACTCACTTCTGCGACCCACGTAGCGAAGAATGTTTAGCCATTGAATTAGAAACTTTAAAGAAACACCAAAATGAAAATTATATAGATTTTTGTGGTCGTATACAATCCGTTAAATCAGTGCTATTATCGAAGGTTAATCAAATTGGTGATAAAAACTTAAAAATAAGTAAAACTATTATTTATAATAACACCGCTCTGCAGGTATAATTATAATATAATTAATATAATATAATTATAATAATTTACCCAAAAATATGGTGCGCATTGTTAGGTTGAAAACACCCAATATACTAGAAGAAGCGCTAAGTATAGTTCTAGAAGAAGTAAATTTCTATGACCAATATCAGATGTGTAGTAAAATGTTACAGTCTAGCCATATATCTAAGCCACAGTCTAGTAGTATACCAGTGCAACAATCATCGTTTAAGGTCGCAGCCTATATTTTATTGTGAACAGATACCTTTGAGTTTTAGTAATCAAGTTAGATCCTATATTCACAAAACCTTACAGATAAACAAGCAGGTCGATAAACTTCTATTAGATAATGTTATTCAGGAATCTTTCTCCCCTTGGAATTCTCCCGTACATCTTGTTCCAAAAAGGCTGATGCTTCGAGCGAAGTTAAATACAGAATGGTCATAGATTACAGAAGGCTAAATGAAATTACAGTTGATGATAAGTACCCCCTTCCAAATATCGCAGACCTTTTCGGTAAGCTAGGTAAGAGCATATACTTTTCGACACTCTACCTGGCCAGCGGCATCACCAATTGATGTTGAACTTAATGAAGATGACCGACAGAAAACTGCCTTCAGCACCCAAAATGGACACTATGAGTTACTGAGGATGCCATTTGGGTTAAAGACAGCCCCCGCTACCTTTCAAAGAGCTATGAATAATGTCTTAAGAGGTTTGCAAGGAATCCATTGCCTTGTGTACCTAGACGACGTTATTATCTTTTCCGCTAGCCTACAAGAATACATGGAGAAACTCCGTACAGTTTTTGAGTGATTTCGAATGACTAACATGAAAATACAATTAGACAAATCCGAATTTTTCCGAAACGAAGTTTTATATCTTGAACACACCATAACTAAATACGGACTGCGACCAAACGATGACAAAATTAAAGAAATACAGAATTATCCTCTTCCTAAGACAACCACCGAAATCAAAAGTTTCCTTGGGCTGGTTGGATACTATAGAAAATTTATAAAGGACTTTGCGAAAATCACGCAGCCCTTAACGGCGTGTTTAAAGAAAAGGAGTAAGATAATTATAGACCAAAATTATATAGATGCTTTTCATAAATGTAAAGAAATATTGACTAGTATTCCACAACTACAATACCCGGATTCGACTAAACTGTATATATTAACTACCGACGCTTCGAATGTAGCTCTTGGTGCCGTACTGTCAGAAGGACTAATTGGGTCAGATAAACCGATTGCATATGCCAGCCGCACACTTAGTGACACCAAATCGCGATACAGCACAATAGAGCGGGAACTTTTAGCCATCATTTGGGCTGTAAAGCATTTAAGGTCCTACTTGTACGGACAGAAATTTCAAATTTACACAGACCATAGACTCCTTGCTTGGCTCTATTCTCTTAAACAGCCAAACAGCAAACTAACCCGCTGGCGTTTGCACCTTCGAGAATACGATTTTACAATAATCTATAAAAACGGCAAATAAAATACCAATGCAGATGCCTTGTCTCGCATAAAACTTAACGCTTTAGACGACGCATCAATGGATGTTAATGTGGAAGACGATGATATACAAAAAGTAATACGCCAACTGAAAGAACTTGAAAAATACAGACCTGAGCCTCAACTAGAGACAGTGATAATTTCAGACTCAGACTCGAGTGTGACGGAACATGTAGAATTGTTCGAAGAAAATTACCCTGTACCATCTGTAACTAACAGTAGTAGAAAAGACACGATACACTCAAATATTGAATCTGAGTCAACATCAATCCCAATTTTGAGCGAGGCAATAGATACCAAACCAAATCAGACCTAGTATTTTCTTGGTTCCAAAATAAACTACAAGTCAGAAATTTATATAGAGCAAAACAAAAAGTACTAGAGTTATTTCCCCCACTAGAAAACGAAGAATTAATAAAACAATTTTTAAAGGAGTATATAAAATTTAAGAGTCGATACTTTATTTATTTCGAGAACGCTGGCCATAGGAAATTATTTACGAAAGTTATTATAGAACTCTTTAAGAAGGATGCAGTACAATTCTTTGAATGTACACAACGCGTAGTATATGTGGAGGATGAAAAAGAAAAAAAGCTGTCATTCTCAAACACCGTGAAGGAAAAACATGTCTTCGTGGTGTGAAAGAAACTATGGTAATAATACACGGAACTATTATTGGGAAAATATGCAAGACATTGTAGCTGCCGTTATAAATGCTTGTGAACCTTGCAGATTAATAAAGTACGACAGGAAACCAATAAAACCTGTACTACAACTCACATCAACTTAGGATGCGTCTTTTCAGGAACTATTTATAGATTTATTTACTACTGAGAAGAAGTATTATTTAACCATTGTGGATGCTTTTAGCAAATTAGGGCAGGCCTTAGAGATTACAAGTCGACAAACCGCTGAAGTAGCGCGAGCAATAATTAAATATTTTTCTATGTACGGAATTCCTAACAAAATATCATCTGATCCAGGCACTGAATTCAATAACGAACTTATGCGTCAGCTCCTATCTATGTATAAAATAGAAACTCATATCACAACTCCCAGTAACACCAATTCGACAGGCATTATCGAAAGATTACATTCTACTATAATTGAAATATACAGACTTGCAAAATATGAGCATAAATGCACAGACGCTGCATCTTTCATGACATATTCAGTCATGGCATATAATCATACTATTCATTCAACGACAGGATTAACACCCTTTGAAGTAGCATTTGGTCATACCGATTCTGGTAAAAAATTCGACGTAGATTTTGAAAGGGCATATACACAGCAACTCGTCAAAGACCACGCGAGACGAACCAAATACTTATATAGGTATATCTCCGAAAAAGTCCATACATATAAAGAAAAGGTTAGGAAAAAGAAAAGCGGGGAATCTGGATTTTAAAGAACGTGATACGGTTTTTATTAAAGATATTAACATAAGGAAAAGTAAAGATAGGACTACGTATCAAAAAGGCGAAAGTACAAGGTGATATTGAAATAAACGTAATACCTGTAACGATAGGGAAAAGAAAAACTAAAGTACACCTCAAAATGTGAAACGCCCTCCACAGGTTGTTGGCGATCTTCTTGAACCTGAATCTGATGATCCGGACCCAAGGCCTTCAACTTCTAAAGGTTGAGTATAATCCAGGCATGTTACCCGTAAAGCAAGGACAAGCATACAAGGAAGTAGATAAGTGGGTTATTGTTAAGCAGATAGAATTTAGTAGCATAAAATATGATTTAAATTTTAATATTAATAAGTATAAAAAATTTAGCAGTTTAGTAGACATCCATAAGCCATACGTAAATAAATTCCAAAATATGAACACACAAGTAAATTATTTAAGTAACTAAGCTGTAGAAAAGTTTAAACAACTCATACCTTCGATACGTTTCAAGCGCGGTCTTATTAATCCATTAGCTTCTGTTATCAAAGCGCTTACAGGAAACTTAGACCACAATGATGCAGTAAAATACGACAATCTCATATCTCAATTAAAGACCCAGCAAACGCACACTAATAGGAAAATAACAATAATATCGGAGATGCTTGACTCTCTTATAAATAGTACTGGATCTTTACAGGAAAATATGAAAATTGTAAATGAACGAATGAAACGTATAGAAAGAATTGTAAAACATATAATTACTAAAGAAGATAACAGTATATACTCCACATATGTTTTAAGTATGTTTAACATGTTTGTCAATAATTTTAGAACTATATACTTAATTTTAAGCGAAATAGAAACGGCATTAGCATTTACTAAACTTCACGTTCTACATCAAGCCATTGTTAATTCCACTGAATTATTAGTTATATTATCTATATCTATATCTCAAACAAATAGTTTATTGTATCCTATTACTGAAAACAATTAGTTAACTTAGAAAGATCTATGTCTGTTAAGGCCTATGTAAAACAAAACCAAATAACGTTCATTATGGAAATCCCTCTGACTGATAATATTACATACACTTATTTTAAAATGTATGCCTTACCTATGTTTGATCCTACCTATAATAGAACAATTGTTATTTTTCCCAAATATCCTTACCTCATGGTGAAAGATCACACATAAATACCCTTAAATGGCCCATGTCAGGAGATAGCAGCAAAGCAGTTACTGTGTGCATGTATAGAACAACTTATGAACTTCGCATCAGATCTAAGCCTTTGTAAGTTATCAATAGAGCTGGAAAGTGTTAAGATACAGTCTATTGCTCCTATTAACTGGATCCTATTTACACAAAATGAAATAGTGCTTACAAAAACGTGTGGCGATGACACTCAAAGAAATGCTATAAAGGGCACTTACCTCTTGGAAATCGATGAAAACTGTGAGATAAAATTAGGCGATATTAAATTACACCGGAAACGATACTATTCAGGAAAACTGCAATATACCTTATATTGAAGTTTTTCTGAATAGTATTTACGACACCTATTTTAACTCTACCCAAATTGATAGATCAGCCCACAAATGCGGAGAAAACAGTGAATTTAAATCGCGTTAATTTGGATGAACTAAAATATCTCTCGTACAAACTGAAAAGTGAAATAGTGGAAAGTGAAAGTGAAAGCTTAGTGAATAAAAAAGTGTTAGTTTAGCTACTGTACTACTCTATGTTATATTAGTTTTAATTAGTCTTATTGTTGCAATTTGGAAAAATAAGTCTAAGCTCTTACATTGTATGCAAAGTCATCGGAATCCAAACCTTGCCGATAACTTTGCAGTTGAGTAGGGAGGAGTTATGATTACACCAGCACCACCCATAATACGTATAAAGCGTCCGTCAGCATAAATACATAAACGCTAATTATGTAGTAATTTAAGTAGACTGTAAGCATAGGATTAAGAATTGTAAAAGACAATGGTCAGAATAAATTCACATCTTTCTCTGTGAGCACGTAGTTTTAATTAGTTTTTAAAAATCTCTCGGCAGCTCCCGCAACTTGACTATCTATATATGTAATAAATCTTTAGAAAAGTCGTGCTTGTAAATCTAATATTTCTTGCAGTAAAACAAGTTCATGGGACTAAATAAAGGATACTGAAGCCAAATTATATAATTTTTGTCTGCCTGTCTGTGCCTGTCTGTTTATTTACGGTTCATTCAAAAAACTACTGGACAAATCTCCACGAAATTTTGTATGTAGGTAGTTAGTAACTCAGGGTTTCTAACGGGCTACTTTTTATTCGATTAAAGAACTTGAAAAAGAAGCGTTAAATATTTTCGTTTCTTTAGACGTTAATTTTTGATTGTGTTAATTATAAGTTATATTGAATTACGGAATATCGCAAATCAAGTGTCGTATAATATTTAATTAAATTTAATAATACTATATCTAAAAAACCTTAAAACTTCTCTTCTCTTGGTTGTAGGGTGAAATTTACTTACAAGGCTTTTTATTAGACTTAAGAGTGGATTTATGTTTCATACGTATATAACACCACCCATCCATCCATCAAGTATAACCTATTTATTAAATAATAATCAAAATCGGTTCAAAATTACCGAAGATATCGCGTAACATGCATAACATATTAAACACATGCAGTCTGATAAAAAAATCTCCTTTTTCTAAAAACCACTAACCAACCATCGTGATATTACACATCTTCTACAATCACATTATTCTGTTCTATCAAAGAGGTTTTCTGTGTGAGATTATTCCCCGGTCGAGCCAAGCCAAGTCGTACTGCAGACGTAATACAAAACAGGACGGCTATAAATACCTTCATAGAAAAATTACTTACAAATAACTTTTTGTGAAATTATTCGGCGGAAGTTGAGAGTAACTCAGATCTTTTTCAGACGGAAGTAACAATCAAAAAATCTATAGGCCATTTACACAGTTTCCGCATTTACAAAGGCCCGGAATATTAATTGTTAGTGTTTCATGAGGGTGAAATGTGTTATATAGAATTTTTAAAAATTATAAATCATCATCATCCATGTAGTGGGGGTGTAAGAATATCTTTACTGTCCGTACGATCAACATGCACAGTACAGTAAGTTTTTACGTGGTAGAGTCACGCTGGAGCTATATTATGGTTGTATCACGAATAGGTCGGCTTGACCGGGGAAGGATCACGGTTTCACATAATACCAGCGTTAAATAACCGGCTAATACTGTAGTGTTTCGTATAGTGAGTGCCGGAGACCCTTTTTTACTGGAAATAAGGCATTCCATCTTAGTCCTCATGGGTGACAACGTATCTGCGCTTTGATTCTTAATCGAGGATAAATGTAGATGTCTATGGGCCACAGCATCCATTTACCACCAGGTGACCTTTGAGTTCGCTTGTCATCCTTATTCTATATAAAGAAACCAAGAGCGAAAACCCGCTAATATCGATATATCGTTATAACTTTATATTATTCGGTTAATTAGAAATTTTCTATTAAGGGGAAAATATTTGAAAAGAATTGTATACGCAAGTAAGAATTGTATATTGTTTTTAAATAAAATTTGTAATTAGCGACCCGATCTAGCTTCGCCTACATCGAATTTATTAATGTGGCGTTATACGTATAATAATCATTAAAGGCCACTAGATGTAGTTTTATTACAATCCGTTCAGCCATTCTCAAGATTAACCCAAATAGACAGATAAATGAAAATTTTAATAAGGCATTTCATGTCTCAATAGCTTGCAAACATTTTTTACAAACATATTGAAAAAATAATCAACAATAACTTTTCGGCACTGTAGGTCAATTTCTAACAATAAGTTGTTTGTATTTTATTTCCTTTTGTGTACGGCTGTTTGTTGCCAAAATAAATAAATAAAGTAA